AATATATATTTATATATATAAAGATATATTGGATAACAAGGTATTTATTGCCAGAGCTAACTGAAATGTCTCTATTTTTATTGTAATGTTACAAACCATTATGGTATATATTTCTGTATATTTCAGTAGCTGGGAAAACAGTACTCTGTAACATGTGCGACACCGCATTAGAAATTGATACATGCTATTAATGTGAAGGGAAGTAATCCTTGCTGATTTTTTTTTGCAATGCAATTCCCTGTATTGGATCTGCAAGATCAAGTTCTTACGCAGCCAAGATACTGGGAAAAAGTAGGGAGTCCTTGACAAAGCTCAACTTTGGACTTGCTGTTCACAGCCTAATAAAAAAAAATATGCAGAAGCAAGCATGGATAAGGACACGCACAATTGTTTTAAGTTGGATTTTTTTTTTCCTTTCTCTAAAGCAAGTCATGCAAAAATGCACAAATATTCATGATTCTGAACCTGGGCAACATCTGCAGACAAAGCTGCTGCTTAGGAGCCTGCTCCAAACTGCTCTTTAAAAATTCCAATTACAAAAGGTACCTCTTAAATCAGTAACCATTTGTAACCATAACAGGCCAAATATTACTCCGTTCCTAGAGGCGATCACTGAAGAACTGAAAGCTTGCAAGCAACTATGAGATGGCTGCTTAGATTTGGACTTCATTTTCTAACTGTTTCGGTTATGGTAGGACAATGTGTAAATAGCACAAGCCAGGTTTCTAAGTGTAGTTTTCATTCTCGGCTCATCACATCCAGCTTGCATTTTCTTTCATGAACTATTTGTATGAATAATTCTGTTTCTTTTAACTGTGGTATTAGTAAACTGCCTGGCGAAGTACAAAGCTGGAAGGTATACTGGTAATTTTTCAAATAACTTTTTAATCTGAGGTAAAATGTGCAATAAGTGCACGTATGGACATTGGGAGATGAGGGTCGTGTTTATTTTTCTAATAATTTATGATTTTTCTAATGTGCCTTGGATTTGTGCCAAATGATGGAAAGAAAAAAAATAGTAAAATAACTCTTGAAAATGCTAATTTTTTTGAGTGCTTTTTTCAAAGCATTGAGTCCTTTATGCGGATTTCCTTGTCTTTGTTTTTGTAGGCATTTGAAGACTTGTGTCTATGTATAAATTGAGGGATCTGTTGGAATTTACTCTGAAGCTCATTCAGTATGACCTTCTTCCCTCCTGTATTCATAGATTACTATTATTAGCTTGTGTGGCTTTGGATTTAAAGCATAGAGTTGTACAATATAGAATTGTTAGTGCAACCAAATGTTTTCACATCACTTCCTTCTCTAGCTCTACATTACCAAAGTAGGATGGATGTTCAGCTATGACAAGCCAAAAAGACCAAGAGGAAAGCGATGTAAACTAGATTCTTTCTTGTCACACTATGAAGATGTTTGCAAAACATGCTACTGTGCAGTCCAGTTTAACCTCCAAAAGGTTGCAAGTTAAAATGAATCCTAAGCATTACTTCATGTTTTGACAGACAAGATTCTGGAACAGCAAGGTACTAAAGCTTATGTTGTTTTAAGTAGAATTTGATAAATTTAGGAATGTGAAGCATGGATGCTTAGAACATATCTGTAGCCCTAAAGGGAAAACTTTCAAACCATCTGTCCATCACCACACCTTGGGTTGAAACTCTTCGTACTGGTAAGAGGTCATTAGTGTAGTAGTATCATGGCTGTATACTAAATTTCTTTAAAGTTAAGGAATCCTAATTCCAAACACAGACAAGCAAAGTGCCCAGTCTAGCCCAAATTCAACAAAAATAACAGCTGTTTAAATAATTTTTAACCACATTCACACAAGATGAAAAACACCCACTAGTGTTCACTTTTAGTGCGCAATTTTATTCTGTTCCAAAAAACACTGCAATTGGGATCATACATGTTCCTGTTAAATTATGTCAGAAAAGGTTTTTGTGGTGGTTGAGTGTTTATCAGCACATTACAGTATTTATCCTACTTATTTCCATAACCATACTTTTGAATAAACGTCTAGGACAAGTTCAGTTTTACTTTGTACATGCAGGAGTTGCAGAAAGTTTAAGAAAACGGTCTTTTTTTTCAAGGTAAGAAACACTCCAGCCATTTGATAAAAATGGAGGTAGTTTTAAGAATACATGATACCAAGTGTCTGAACAGTGCTGTACAACAGTTAACTTGCTTTTTTTGAGATAGCTTCATTATTCCATAGGGGAACAGTTCAATTGCATGCTGATTACAACTTCATTACACAGACTGCCTGATATGAAGGCCTCTGATCCAAACACTGCTTTGATACCTTCACTCCTTCACTTTATTTTATAAATTTCCAGTAAGAACTTGAGAGCCAGTGAGCTGCTGGACAGGCTTCCTTCAGGGGCTCAGGAAATCTTGTTTCTAACGCTTCTGTGATTTAGAGGGAGCGGCTGTTCCCACCTTTACATTTAGCCCCTCCTCATGTTATGGTATCTCCAATAGCAGCAAGTTAAGTGTGTGCAGTTGCTGAAAGCATAGTTTACACACTGAGTAAGGGGCAACAAAATGTTCATGCTAACGAAGCAGTGGGGAACCCCACACTATTCAGGCCTTTTATACTACAAAAATTTAAGTTACAAAATCCCCTTCTCAGATTTATTTTACAAGACATTTGTTGGCCTTTTTATATATTAAAAAAAAAAAGTAAGCGTAAACATTTTCAGATCTTGCATTCTGCCTGATAACAGGATCTTGCCTTTTCCAGGCCTCTTGTTTGGCAGACAGTCAGTCTTACAGTAGTATTAATAATCATCCTCTTCATCAGAATCCAATACTTTCCTTCTGTTGAACTAGAATTGAAATACAGAAGGGTCACAGCAAACCCAACATAGAGCAAGCCTTTCAAACTCCATGCATTTGACAATGAATACACTCCACAGGAGCAGAACGTTCACCCTATCACAGCCCCCCCTGTGCCTGCCTGGCATAGTGGTACAGGACAGATGCAGCGCAGTCCGTCTCACAACAGAACACTGATAGCCCAGTGCTAATATCTGCAAATTGTACCACTGATAAGGGCTGCTACAATTTAACCCCAGTACTTACTGGTGTAGGTAAGGGAGGTGGTAAATATTATAAAGTTAGGTTCTGCCCTGAACTGAAATGGTCCAGTACATGCAATTTTTCTGCTCTATTTTATATTATAAAGTTAGGTTCTGCCCTGAACTGAAATGGTCCAGTACATGCAATTTTTCTGCTCTATTTTATAACAAAATTACATTTAGGAAATGAAACTTACCTTTACTGTTGTTTTCTTTTCTGTTTGCTGACTCACTTTTTCAAGTATTTCTATCAAACCTTGTTCTGATACCTAGGAAAGCAAAAGGAAAGCCATATGAACACATTCTGAGAGATACATAGTATCAAACAACTGAATCACACTTTCCCTTCTAATAAAATATGTTTGATGGAATTATACAATAGTATTTAGAAGCTCTCAATTACCTTTTTCAGTTATTTAATTTACAGATACTAAAAACATCTATTTTTTTAAGAGTGAATTAGGTTAATGTGAGAAAGAATTAGAAAAACATAACTCACCTTTCCACCTAGCTGTCCGAATCTTGCCATCTGTATAAGATAATTCTCTACTGCTTTTGCTTTGTCTGGCTTCACAAGTGCTAAATTGCTTACTGCAACAAAAACAGGCTCTGTTCATTTTGTTTTAAAACATACTCAAATATCTTCACTAGTAACTAGAAAGTGACAAATGTCCCTATGAAGCCATCTTCTTCACATCAGGGACATTAAATTGAAAAAGGCATTTTAATTTATATAAAATAAAGATACGAGATAGTTATATTTCTTACTTTTAAAGATGTCTTCCTAATTAGATTAACTTTGACTCTCACTACAATTCCTATTATTAAAAAAGTTTTTGATTAACAACATTCAGATGTCAGTCAACCCCTCCCCTCCAATCCCTGATATCACCACCTGAAAAGCTCCAATAGTTTTATCTTCCCATCAACAACATTGTTCTAGTCTGGCCTCTACAGAATCACAAACGTGCTTGATTTGTGCAGCACTGGATTACACTGGATGAGAATTTTTTATTAGAAAGTGACCTGAATACTTACATCTTGCACGAGCTGCTTGATCAAGAACTTGAGCTAAAATAGTATTTCTTATCTCTGCTTCCCTGTAATGAACAATTAACCACACATTAAAAGTGGGATTTCAAATACCTAAAGTATATGCACATACCAGCAAAACACAGAAGACTTGCAAAAGCGACTTCTTGAGGTCCCCTCAAACCTTACATTATTTCTTTTATAGCATTTTCTGTCATGAGTAGCTCCATGTACATTGACAAAGTGACATAGCTGACACCCTCCAAGAAATCAGGACGGAGTTTATTACTTACACTTTATTTTAAAGACGAAAGCCATGCTACCCACTGTAAAGATCCTGCATTCAGTTTCATGTGGAATTTCACCAAAGCCAGTACATGGTAGAGCAGGCATAAGGCACAGTCCATGCAATTGCAAGACAGAACCAAACTTCATCATTTATCTAGAATTTTTCAGTAGGTCTTCATATACTAACAATATTTGACTAAGTATTTGCGAGCCTGGCATTTTAGTTTGTGCATGTAGTTAATACAAACTTTGTGTGTGAAGTCTAGGTCTTTAAACCCTTATTTTCAGTTTTCTACTTAGTGCAAATACTAAACACTGTTTCCACACTAAGCTCGGACATGAATTGTTTCATACTTTTAAGTGCAACACATGTCCCAGAAAAATCAAATCAACTAGGAAAGCATGCTCCCATTGCACTAACAGAGCCAAACCCAAACTCGTCACTCAGACAAAACCCCAGTTTGGGAACAGTTCTGCGAGCCTTCAAGATTTTCTTATGACCAACTCTCACCAGCCCTGAAAAGCCAGGGTTTCTGAGTTCCAGAAGCAGATGACAACAGGAATGAGGATGCTTCCCCAACCCATTCTATTATATCACTAAGGGTCATGAGGTTATTGCGCTCAGCTGAGTCAGAAATTAAAAATGAGCTGCTACTGCTGTTTTTCTCCACACCCTCCACCCTAGTTGGGGTTCAGACTGCCTGACAGCTCTGTTGTAGATCATCCAATACAGTCACAGCCTGGGAGCCACACTTGGATTAATCAGATTTAGCTATCTTTGGATTAAATTGTCAATATTTCAGATTCTTTGTTAGTGGTTTTCCAACAACAACAAAAAAATTCAGGCGAGTATTCCAAAGAAATATAGTACTCAAAAAAAAAAAAAAAGGTTGAAAATGATTAGATTTATCACCAAAGTCAATAGTTCTCATTTATACCTCTGTTTTGCTTCCTGTTGCGATGGATCACCAGAAGGATCCTAAAGAATGAGATCAGAATAAATACGATCATCCAAAAACATTCCCCACAGGACAGTAAGTTTAAATATTCCAGCAGCATCAACATAAGCTAAACCTGTCTGCTAAACCAGCCTAACCGTGGACAAGATCCTGAAAATAAGAATCTGCTTCCCTAGCAAATAACCATGCCATACTATGCCTTCCTCACAAAGCAGTAATCCAAATCAGAGTGATGACTCGCGCTACTGGATCTATCCAGATTGTTGTAGGTTTGGACGCTGAAAGGCCTTCCTGTTAGGCATAAGATAATAAACTTTCCCAAAACCCTGAAAACAGACAAAAGCATTTAAACCCCCTTAAAGTAAGCTAACGACAAATGAAATTCAGTGTCATGCTTTGTATTTATCAATAAAGAAAAAAACCACAATCCTGGCCTGGTAGTTTGGGACTAAAGGAGGCAGCTGAGATAACTATTTGGAAGCAACTAACAAAAAAAGAGAAAAAAACCTGAACTTTATGTTGAATCTGCACCTCAAATTCTATAGTAAACACTTCAAAGCGTGAACAGGAAACCACACAGAGAGGACACGCGACTTGATGACGGGTATGGGAGATCCCTTCGCTGGACCAGCGGCACAGCCCCATACCCTTCAGCTCCGCAAACAGAGACCACTCTGGGGACTGGTGATGGCAATCCACAAAGCTGTGAGGGGCATGGGAAAAGGCTGGGGGCAGGAGCGGTGCCGAGCGCTCCAAGGCAGCAGCCAGGACACCCCGGGCAGGCAGCAAGCCCGAAACACCCCGAAGGCGGCGACTGCTCGGGCCGCAGGGGT